CATTCGGTCTAAACTAATGTAAATCGACGCTAGGATTGAGCGTTATCAAAAAAACATGTCTTTCAATCGAACAGCAAATGCCGGCTTTTTTTAAAAATTTTTATCGAAAACTACCCAGCGACAATGACAAAAACTTGTGGGGACTTTTTGATTTTCCCACTCTGAAAATGCCTAGAAGAGTTAAGAAAAAGCTATGAAAATTCAATTATTTTGAAATAACTTAAAAAAATTTCTTTGATTTTTTCCAGAACTAGAAAATTCCGTTGTAAAGCGCCAAACACAAGCGCGCATTTAAATGTTTTCGAGGGCATTACGATGCCAAACTGTGCATTCTGTGCATTGTAAACGGATTTCGCAACAGTTCAAATCAGATCTGTCGCAGAATCCGAAACATTGCTACATTTCTTTGATCTTCTTCGCTGTTTTGGATTCCAGACACAAATACTTGAAACATTGCACCGCTCAAAATGGCTCCAAATATATGCGAATTTGCGGAATCCGCAACTGTATTTGCGGAATCCAGAACAGTTTGTGGAATTCACAAACAAACAAGAAATTTGTATAGTTTCATTGAGCTGTTGCGGAATCCGCAACTGTGAGCGGAATCCGCAAATTGTAAGTGGAATCTTAAATTTGCGGATTTCCCTTAAATTTAGCGGTTTCCACTAACTTTTTGCGAAATCCACTTACAGTTGCGGAATCCAGAAACTAGCTATATTTGCTTTTTTCGGAATCCGCAACAAAACAAATATGCCGAAAAAAGTTACGTTACAGGTATTTGTACGCGGAATCCACCAAACTTTTGAAATCCACTTACATTTTGGAATACGTCTAAAAACTCGTCTCTGAAGTCCAGGAACATACTGATACAAAATTGTACGCCTCTTCAATGCACTGTTTGGCCTCGTAATGGAGAGTCAACCAAAAACAGCGCTGTTTGCTCGCCATCTCTATCAAATATTTGTAAACTCCACATTTGATAATTTTGCAGCTATTTGACTTGATTGCTAAAAAGGTTGTTTCAGTTACCCAAAAGAATGTCCCAAAACATAGAACCTATAACAGTAACCTGAAAACGTTGAAATAACGATAAACAAAAAAAAACATTTCAAAAAATTTTATGAAAATGTTTTCGACGTTACTGCTCAGTTTTCAAAATTCAGAGTTTTTTATCGCTTCAATCTGTATCAAAACAATCAACAATCAATACACTTCAAATTTGAACGTCTTTTTAAATAGGAAACTGCATTATTGATATCAGGTTTTTCAAATAACTCAAATAAACGTGGAAAAATTGATTTCATGAAAATATTTTTTTTTTCTCGAATTTTCCGACCTATTTGTATGTTAGTTTGTTGTGAAAGAACATAAAACAATCTAATTAAGTTACATTTTTTGAAAAATAGACAGAAAAATCAAAAGCATTGTTCTGAACGTTTTAATAATGTTTTTGTAACTCATGACAAAATTCCATTCAAAATTTTTATAGACTTAATTTTGATTCTTAAATTTTTACTTTCTTTTCAGGCTGTTGCCTTTTTTATTTTTTGTGTTTGAACTCTAATTGTTAGAGAATTTTGTTATTAGGCAGTTGTGATTGAAGTTGTTTTGTTTCGAGTAGAAAATTTTTTGGCCCATTTACAATTTCATCGTGCCGCATTTTGTTAACTTCGAACATTCGTCGTTCACTTATTTTGAGTTAATTAAATAATTGGTTAATTTTACCATCAAACTGCAAAGCTGGTGTATCTGAAAACAAACCTGGTTTTTTACTTAAAGCAATCAGATTGCAATAACGTTGAAAGTTAGCGATGAATTTTAAATTTAGTTTTCTCTAACGCCTGCGAGTAAGACGGTCTTAAGTGTTTGATTTTCCCGAAAAACAATAAACCTTTTCAACTAAAACAGTTGTCTCTGTGGCTCTAAATTGGTAAGCGTTTTCAACAACAAAAACATAAAAACTAGTTCTTTCTATTCCTATTTAGCCTACATTAGCTTGCATTGGCCTACAGAAAAGAAAAAAGTGATTCAAAAAAGGCTGAAGTCATTTTGCAGTTCATGAAAAAGCATCATCAACCAATTTCTGGCTAATTTAGTGGAAAAATAATTCTGCTTGAAAATATTTATTTTGCTTATCTTATTTTTCCAAAAAAAATATCAAGTTTTGTTTCATCCAGTAAATTAATGAAAAACCTGTAAACTGCTGTTTTAATGTGGTAAAAAATTGCGTTCTAATTTTGATGCCTTCTCTGTAAAAATGATTTTGGTTAATGTTTTTAAAAAAAATTTTGCCTCGACTTCAAATGTTTGTATATGCAACGGTGATTGAAAATTAGAACAAATTTCTTTACTGAAACCAAAAAAAAAAACAATTTTGAAAACTGAAAACGTAGCGTAATTTTTGACATTACAAAAAATGAGCTGAAAAATGCATTAGTTTTCTTAAAATGGCGCTCTGTTAAGTTGTTACGACCAATAATTTGCGCTACAAAAATCAATTACTTTTCTAACTCTCCACTTCATTTCCGTTATTCATTCTTTCTACTTTACAGGTAAGCAATTTATTTTTTGCTCTTTTTTTTCTTGTTAGATATTTTGTGTTTTTGAACACGTTTGGAAATAAAACTAGAAATTTTAAAAATTGAATTAAAAACTTACAAACAAAAAGCAATAATTTCAAAACTTTGACCAATAGTTTCGCATGCAGAAAAAAATTTTCAGTTATTTTGGCAATTAATTACAATTGTTTGAAATTTGTTGATTACTGTTTAACTTACAAAACCTGACGACTACCAGGAAAGTAATGTTTTATCAAAAGATAAAGCATAGCTATCAATATATCAACGATAAATAATTTGAAAAACAGTGTTTTTTTCCGGGTTGACCGAAAATGCTAGTCACAAATTTTTCATGCAATTACATAAGTACTGAAAAATGCATAAAATGTCTATCATTAGCGTTTTCTGTTATATGACTAGCCTTTTCCTATGAACCAAATTTCACTTTTTTTTGTATAATATCTCATTTTTTCTTTTGTGGCCGAATACAAGTGAAAGAAACCAAGGTTTACTCGAAACCAGAGTCACCAAAGGTTTGATCGTCTTACGTTTACAATGCATTGGAAACGAAATGCATTGTATGACTGATTTCATACACAAATCATATAATAAAAACATCAAACTTTTAAATGTTGGTGAAAGGTTTCAAAGACGATTGTTTTCAAAGTTTGATCTTTTATTGTATCAGACATAAATCCAGACATTCATAAATATGCCATAAAAGAGAATTAAGAGTTTCAGCGTTCTTTTTGAAAAAACAGAGAAATACAGAGAAACATTTTACAGAGAAATGTATATCTGGAAATTTTATGATAAGCTTTTTTTGAAAAAAAATCTTTTTTACTTAGCACTATACACTAAATTTTATGCCAAAACAAGAAAAAGTTCTTTGAAAGTTCAATAAAACCAGCTTAGCAAAATGTATGAAAATTGTATGATTTGTATGATCATAGATTTAATTTATAGAATTTTTTGAGCAGCATTTTTGGTCTATGGAGGTCCACACGGGTTATGTCGTTTTTTAAGGCGTGATATATTGATTTTAATAAAAACATTGAGACATTAGGGTTTGTATTAGTATTGAAAATCTAAATTTTTTCGAAATCGGTTTTTCTCAAAAAAGGAACCGAATTACTGACAAAAAAAAAATGAAAAAACTTAAAATTTTGCTGGCGTTCTTGACATTTTGATTTTTATTAGGATGGATTTGATAAATTTAATTCGAAAAAATTGATTTTTCGAAGTTAGATATAATAAGACCTCGACTTTTATAAGCCTGAAAAACCTCACTCGCCTTACTTGCTCGAAATGAAATTTAAACTCAAAATATTCATTTCTTTTGGATGTTTTCTATTGCTGCTCGATTCCCGACTGAAAAGACTTTGAAATAATACACCAATCGACCCAGTCCAATGACTGTTAGTGGTACCTAATTTCGCTTGAAAAAAAAACAGAAAAAACTAAACACACTCAAAGCAAAGTTTCTCCCATTTTGAGGCTAGAAACAGAAGGAGTTTTTCATGTTGTGAGGAAGATGAAATTTTTAATTTTTGATTAATTTATGTTATTTTATTTTATATAATTCGTATAATTCGTTTTCAATTCGATGAAACTTTAACTCATATTAGCAAGATATCACAATTCTAAAAGAATCCTACACCACTTTGAATTCTTCTGATCTGCAGCTTGCATGCAAAAATCTTGCAAGATCATTGCAATGTTCAGATAAAATTCTGCATTTCAAAAAAGTTCAGTGTGGCAAAATTGTTTTAGGATTTATTATAGTTCTTGCATTTTCTAAACCATCCAGAAATTTACCCAAGACTTTCCCTCTAAACATTTAAATTGCTTTTCTTGTATTCAGCATTTAAAAAAAACACAGATCAGTTAGTGGTAAAAACAACTGTAATTTACTTTCTTTCTTATTATAAACCTCATTCACTGAAAAAAATCGACCAAAAATCAAAATCTAATTATCTGCTAGAAACTACCAAAAACAATTAATTATTTGAATACCAACATCATTAAATATGTGCTTGCTTTATCTTAAAAGCTTTCTAGAATTAATTTCGAAGTCTTTTTTTGTCTCTTTTTTTTTAAACTTAAAATTACTTGCTTAAAAATTTTTGATGAGCATTCTTAACAGATATATTTCTTCTATGGCCAAAAAAAATCTTAAACACTTGTATTTGCTGAGGTCCGATTGCATTTCCAGCTAAAATTTTTTGACTCCTGTCTTGCGTAGTTTAAACATTAAATATTGAAATGACACCCATTGTTATCTTAGGCATGAAGAAAGCATAGCTTTTTTCTGAACTTTACCACTTTACCGCTCTGAAGAGAAATAAGCTACGCGTTAACAGTGCGATGATTTTCATTTTTAGCTTTTCGTTGTTGTTCTTAAATTTTGAGCCTGCGTGCAAAAATGCTTTTTGTTTTCAGAAGAAAGAGACGAAAGCTTCAATAGGTTAAGCACCGATACTTACATTGGAAAACGAGGCGTCACCCTCAAAGCTGCATCTATGGACAACCCATCAAACTTGGATTCAAATCCGAGCGAAATTGACCCCGTACCCAGCAAAACAGCCAGCGCTGTAGGGCTAGTTGCCGGATACAGTCCTGGTCAGGCCAAAAGAGTCTCTTCTGAATTTTTGGACCCAAATTTGACCCCCATGCCGTCCCCCTCTCCATCATATGTGCACCAAGATGGGAACGAAAACCGACACTTGCGTAACACGACCAATCCATATGCTCCATTGGTCAAGTCTAAAACTGTGTCGTGCGGGTCATCGCTGTATAACAAAAACCCAAAGCTGAAAAATTTTGGTGAGTACTCGACGTATTTTTTTTTTTACAAAATCATGCTAATCAGCTGAGAAAAAGTTTCAGTTTGTTTACCACTTCCCAAAACACAGAAATTTTTAACGGATCAAGAACTCGACTGGGAGAGCTTTATTTAAAGCTGAGTGTTTTTTTTTCTGGCCTCTGCGGTCAAATTAACGTGTTTTTTTTACCTCTTTAAAATCATTGGAAAATTTTTTTTTGTTGCCAGAGGATGTTTCTTTATCTTTTTTCCATGTTCAAAACTTTAGGAGGTAGGTCAACAAACCGAAGAGTCAAAAAGCCAAATTTAAAATTATCTTTTCAACAAGCCGAAAATTAGAATTGTGGTTCAACCTTATAACAGATTGTCACTATAGTGTATGCAGCTATTACGTATTTCTGATGTAATTTTGGCTTCAATGTGGCGATTGTAGAAATGGCGGTTTATTGAAAATTCTCCGGTTTTTCACTTTCAGTCGAAATGCAGGCCAAAAAAAGGCGCTCGCCTCAAAAATAGTATTTTTAGATTCTCTTGCTGGTGCGAATCTAGGAATTTCTCGAAGCGGCAGATTTTTGAGAATTTTATCGACCTTGTTTTAAGACGACGAAATTGAGCTTTCGAACGCTCCCACAAATTGAACACAAGCAGAGCGTAATTTGACAAAAAAATTTTGCACCACCGCTGGCAAATTAAAAAAAAAACCAGGTCAAAAACGGTTTTTGGGCATTTTTTGGAAAATTTATATTTAGAAAAAAAGTGTTTTTTTTTCCATGGCGCGCTCCCCCTCATTTTTATTTGATGTTGGTGCCAAAGGCACCTTTAGAAAAATTTTGGGGTCAGTCAGCCAAAAATGGATATATAAAAATAAAAATAGTACAAAGAGAAGAATTTTTGGGTCGACTGAAATTCTTCGTATTATCTCGCCAATTTATTTTATTTCACTACACGGCAAACATACATAACAGCGAAAAGGAATCATCCTTGAAAAGTACCTTGAAAAATTACTTATGCATAGCCTCCAGGGCGCTGAAATTTATTTTTTTCCACTGGGAAGAAAGTATTTCCTTTTCCTCCACATTTAAAGCCATAAAAAATATATAATATAAGCAAATCGGTACGCATCCAGGGAAGTTTAGAGGAAGAAAAAGGCTCAAATTTAATTAAATATGAATTTTTCAAGGTAGAGCACAGCTTTTATGAGTTCATTCACGACGATTTTAATCGAAATGAACAATTTGTTACGTAACTTATGTAATTTGTTACGTATGAGCTTTTTACAAAGATTTGATTAACTTCACCTGTTATGTAATTCCACTCATCATTTAGGCGTGCAAAAAACGGGAGATGGGCTTCACGAGCTTTCATTTAAAGTACCCTCTCAACCTGTCATTGCCCAGCCGATGTTTTCTAACTCAATTCAGAATGCTGGCTGTTCGCCCAGTCGAGAAGTCGGCAAAGTGAATGCTAGATTCAGGAGAGCCCCATCAAGAGCAGCATCTGAGTACATTCCAGGTAGGATAAACAGCCTCACTTTCTGAAAAACAATAACAAAGAGAAGTTGCACAAATTTGAATGAAAAGGAATCAAAGTGTAGCTTTTTTCAGGATTTGCCAAAAAAGGATATACAGAATTGCTTAAAAAGAGCAGTTCAATAATTTATAATTTAAACAGCCTTATCGGACAAAATCATATTTTTCGAAAAAATTCTCACCTTCAAGCTAAAAGTAATTCGAAATGGTTTTTTGAAGTGTTGCGATCTCTTTTTTTTGGTGTTTTATGTGTTGAAGTTAAAGGGCTGAAGCTGGACAAAAATTGCTGAAGTTGGTTTTTGTGTGTTAGAAAATCGTTGGTTATTGTGTTTTTCGGACAAAATACGAAAATATTAAGCAAAACTGAACAAATAGTAGTTTTTGACTCTCGGAAGATAGCTTGTCATATAATTTTCAGCATGCAAAAAAGGCTTATCGTAGAGTTTTCAGACATTTTTCTGTACGTATGCAAATGCAAAATGTTGTAATGATAAGAATTTTCCCAATTATAAAAATTGTATGAGAAGAATTTTTGGTCATTTCGGGTACTTGCAATAATAACAATTGCAAAAAAGGAGTTTAATAACAGGTTGCAAAAGTTTAATAAGTTCAAAAGGAGTTTAATAACATACCTAATTTTTTGACCAGAGCAATTTCCGAATTTTGTATAAAATTTGCCTGCAATTTTGAACTTGAGGCGACCTTGAGACATAATTTTTGTCTGATAAAGTGGTTTTTTTCAGGCAAAAGTTGTTTGAAATAGGCCCGTGGTTCCTTTTATATAAATTTGTCTGTCTAAATTTATTGCAACTCTCTATATGGCTTTAAAACTCAACGTATTTTTTGAAATACGGGATAAAAAATTGTTCGATCCAAGTTTTATATCCGACCTTCGAAGAAAGTGAGGAATACAAATGCCCGCGGTTACTTTTTTTTGTTCAGAACAATTCTCAAACAATTTACTGCTTTAGGCATTGATCTGGTGTTTCCCAAGCGAGTATGCTTGCATTTAACTAGTCTTTGTGCTGGAATAAAACCTAAGTTTATTGATCCGACTTTCGATACGAAAGTAACGGCATAATTGTGCTCGGGGGTTTTTTTCTTCAGACAAATTTCGACTTTTTAACTAGCTGCTTTTGACGAATTTTCTTAAACCATTCAAAAGGTTTTGTTGTCTTGAGCTTAAGTTTGAAAAAAATCTTCATCTGTGATCATTTTTTGTTAAGTTATGAGGGTTTAAAGTTTGCCATTTTGGCCAATTTATGACAATTAACGCACGATATATTTTGCGCTATTAACGCGTAAGCGGAGATTCAATTCGTCTCAGAAATCGTTCTAAGTTGGCTGAACGAATTTTATTTGTTTAATTGAATTGTTAAAAGGAGCAAAATCTATCCTTTTGTACTTCATATGGCGTGTGGTGGGATGATTTTCCCGTAAAATCCCAAATTTTAGAAAAAAAAATCGTTTCTTTTAATTAAATTTAATTTTTTTATGTTGTTACTGCCCCAAAGACCTTAAAAGGCAGTCGGAACATTCAAGGCCTCGCCTTGATACGAGTTGTCTTTTTTTCATACGCGATTTATTTATGTGAGGCAAACTATCCGCATGATTGTTCCAATTCAATTGAGGCAAGCTAATTGTCCCTATTATTGCCATAAACGACTATTAACACTTTGATCGGCCTGAAACTTCCAGATTGTCAATACTTCTTTAAAAAAATTTCGAGATCAAAAAATGGGCCATCGGAACATTCAGAGCTTTACTCTGATACGAATAGTCTTGTTTGCTACATAAAATTCCAGCCAGATATAAATGAAAACGTTAGGTGCTAGAGCTTTAAAATTTTCTGATTGCACAACTGAGGCTGTGTCATGCAGCAGAGCAATCGTTTAGAATATACTTCGAAACTTCATCAAACACAAAGTTTTTAGTAATGATTTATTTGCTCCACAAATAATCATTTTAGCAGACCTAATGTACTTCATATGCCGATTGGGGTGATGAATTTCAAAAAATCCTCAAATTAAAAAAAATCGTTTTATTTTGTTACTTTTAATTATTTCATGCTATTACTGCTACATAGAACTTAAAAGGCAGTCCGAACATTCGGGCTTCGCTCTGATACGAGCAGTCTGATTGGTTTTAAAATTAATTTTTGGAACGTTTTTAATTCCGGATACAAAGCACAAAAGCAATTCAGTCTGAAATCCAGCTGGGTCGTATTACTTATTGTTCCGACTTTCGATACGAAAGTAACGGAATATTTGTGCTCGGGGTGGGTTTTTTTTTCTTCAGACAAACTTCGACTTTTTAACTAGCCTTTTTTGACGGAATTTTTTTATATCATTCAAAAAGTATTGTTGTCCTGAGCTTAAATTTGAAAAGATTTTTTACCTGTGATTTTTTTTCGTAAAGTTATGAGGGTTTAAAGATTACATCTTTGGCTAATTTGGGACAATTAACGCGCGATATATTTCGCGCTATTAACGCGTAAGCGGAGATTTAATCCGGCTTAGAAATCGTTCCAAGTTGGTTGAAAGAAGCTTATTTGCCATAATTGATTTGTTACAAGGAGCGAAATCTATTCTTTTGTAGTTTATATGGCGTGTGGGGGGATGATTTTCATGGAAAAAGTTTCAAATTTTGGATTTTTTTTCTTTCATTTTTTACGTTTAATTTGTTAAGGATATTTATGTTATTACTGCTCCATAAACCTTAAAAGGCAATCGGAACATTCAGGGCTTCGCCTTGATACGAGCAGTCTTGTTGTATTTAACTTCTCTGACATTCTAGAAAAAAATCTATGCGAGAAAGTAACATGCGTTTGAATGAAATAGTATATGATAAGCGACCTAATTCAAACGAAATAATTGGCATGCCAACTGATACAAATGAGCAAAGTCGAAAGTTCAGAAATATTTTAGAGGTAGATTCTGCCCAAAAAAAACTACCCGTACGGGCAGAGAAAGATTTTAAATTGCATGTTTTTTTCGCCGTGTCAGGAAAAAAATCACTTAAAAGCGATTTGAAGTGGGTTTTCTAGACACTTGCTCAGGGGTCGTTTAAAATGGTATTACATAAATTTTAGTAAGTTTCAAATGAATTTTAGTGAGTCGGAAGATCCATACAAAATTATTTAATTCGTTTATTTAGACACTTAAGTAGATCCAAAATTTTCAAGAAAGACCGACTTAAATCGATATAAAATCTATCTCAGTTGCTGGATTGCACATTGTTTACCAATTTGGAATTGACTTGAAAGCAAATCAAATTGCTCCGAAACCATTTTTATCCGTTCAGATTATCATATAACTTTGTCAGGAAAAATGGAATTTAATCTTTTTAGACAGCTTGAGCAATACTTATCGCACTTTAAGCTTGGCAGCTGTTTAGCTGAATAGTAAGGGATTTGCACCTTGTTTTCCAGACAAGGAGGAACTTTTGCCATTAAACTGCCAGTTGGAATTGCAGTTTCAAAAAATTTTCTTTTTGAAAAATTAAAATTTTTGTCTCGCAAAAAGTTCTCGGGACAGTTTACTCTTGTTTTTTTTTCACCAGGCTGTAGACAAATCTTTGCGCCAACTGCTTTGGTTTATCAGTCTGACAGGGGATTAACCTCAGTTTGGAAATCACCTTAAAATGCGGTAAAATAATTTCTTGAAAGTCTCTTTTCGCCTCGACTTCGACTAAACAGGTATTGACCGCATTTTATTCACTCAAAATCATCCCGTATAACCTTCCCACATTTGATTAATTCCTTCATAAACTAATTTTTTGATATTTTTTATCAAATTGTTATCAATATCTTTTTGAATCATTGAATCGTTTCAATATCTACGTCAAAATATATCAGTTTTTACTCTATTTGATCACTAAACTTACCGTCAGAAAAATAATCAATATTAGTGTTATCTTTTTCATTTTAGTTGGCAATGTGACAGATATTGTAAAATAACTCTATCAGCTGTCTTCATAAGTATCCAAAGATTTATCTCAGGATCAGAATCATCAAAAAAATGAAAAAGTTGAAGAAAATTCAGACTGAACGAGTTTTTTCTAAGACTTTTTTCAAACAAAACATGATGAGGCAAAACTGTGCATTGGATAGGAGCACAATTTTGTATGTGTATGTTCCTGGATTCCAGAGACAAATTTTTGAACATTTTAAATTTTTGTCGGAACGATCAAAAGGATTGAAAGAACAAAAGAAAACAAAGGGAGCATCCTTGTTACGGAATCCGCTAACAATTCATGAAATTCACAGTTTGGCCTCGTAATGAACTTTTCAGAGAACATTTCAAGTTGAAGTTTAAGTTAGAGTCAAAAATGCAACAAAGACTTTAGCAACTTGAAGGCTAAGGTTTCGTCTGTTAGCATTATAAACTAATGAACAAAATGAGTCTTGTACCCAACATTAACTGTTTTGGTGGTTTTCATAATCCGATTTTTGGAAAGCTGTACTTTTTAGATTAATTGAAACAAAAATTTTTTTTTAGAAAATAATTTGAATGGTCTGTTTAATTTTAAAAACAAATTTCAAAGATTTTAGGCTATTGAAACAGTGAATAGAACGATTGTGAAAAAAAAACGATACTTTAAAGCTGACTTCAACCCTTTTTTCTCAAGATTTGACCCTCGAAACTTATTGTCAAAATGATGAGAATTACAATGAAACAAGATTCAGCTGTCAGTCAAAGAAGTTTTTTTTTGGATGCGAGACTGGTGATAACAGCATCAATCCAGAACTTTATGGTTTTTTTCATGAAATAGCTTTTTTTGGAAGATAATTGGCCGTTTTTTTTTTCGAAAAGTCATCAATATCATGAAAAAATGTTCAAGAAAAATTGCGCACTGATGAGAATTGAGAATCTTGGGATTAATAAAATTGGAGGTGAATTTCTGCCCAATATAACAACGCTATCATCATTAGATGCAAACAGTTTTGTTAGATAAAAACAATTACCACAAATTAATGACCTAGTTTAAATGCTTTTTTGTTAGATCAAAACAATTACAACAAATTGATGACCTAATTTAAAAACTTTGGTTGTCAGATATATTTTAAATAAGAACAAAAGTCAAACGAAAGACAGACAGAACTCTAGCATCAAAAGACCAAATGGAGTGCAAAAATAAGATGACGTTCAATTTCAAAAAATGACTACTTTTAAAATCCGAGAAGAATAGAAGAAATTACTATCGACTCAGTATCTCTAAATGGGTTAGGGGTTATTGAAAAAAGTCAACCATAAAAGTTTGTTTTGTTATTGAAAACACAATAACCTATTTTTTTATTCTCTCCGGAATTTGAAAAACAAAAAATTTTCGTCGGTTTTTAGAGTTCGCTGAAAGTTTCTCGGATCAACCGTACAATTCCCTCGCCCCCTCCCTAAGTAATCTACCGTATATTTCTCTCCTCAAGCATGTATCAAATCTAAAATTGATTCTGTACAAAGTATACATTCCTTGAAATCGCTCAAATAAAAGCTAGAAATAGCAATGATTTTTTTTTCAGTGAAAAGGCTTAAGTTTGAATGAATCTAGGTTCATCTCAAAGTTATTAAACAAAAAAATCAATAATTTCTCCCCCAAATTTTATTGGGGGGACTTGTATGGTTGATCCTGTTTTTCAACTATCTGTTGGCTAAAAAATGTCTGAAAAAAAGAAATCATACGCTAAAAGTCCTACCTATTTCATGAAATGGTCTGAACAAAAAGAGTAATTATACTCTTTTTGTCTCTTTTTGTTCAGACCATTTCATGAAGCAGGTACGACTTTGGTGTATGATTTATTTTCTGTATGATTTATTTATGATTTCAAAAGACCAAATGGAGTGCAAAAATTAGATGACGTTCAATTTCAAAAAATGACTACTTTTAAAATCCGAGAAGAATAGAAGAAATTACTATCGACTCAGTATCTCTAAATGGGTTAGGGGTTATTGAAAAAAGTCAACCATAAAAGTTTGTTTTGTTATTGAAAACACAATAACCTATTTTTTTTATTCTGTCCGGAATTTGAAAAACAAAAAATTTTCGTCGGTTTTTAGAGTTCGCTGAAAGTTTCTCGGATCAACCGTACAATTCCCTCCCCCCCCCTCCCTAAGTAATCTACCGTATATTTCTCTCCTCAAGCATGTAATCTAAAATTGATTCTGTACAAAGTATACATTCCTTGAAATCGCTCAAATAAAAGCTAGAAATAGCAATGATTTTTTTTTCAGTGAAAAGGCTTAAGTTTGAATGAATCTAGGTTCATCTCAAAGTTATTAAACAAAAAAATCTATGTTTTCTCCCCCAAATTTTATTGGGGGGACTTGTATGGTTGATCCTGTTTTTCAACTATCTGTTGGCTAAAAAATGTCTGAAAAAAAGAAATCATACGCTAAAAGTCCTACCTATTTCATGAAATGGTCTGAACAAAAAGAGTAATTATACTCTTTTTGTCTCTTTTTGTTCAGACCATTTCATGAAGCAGGTAGGACTTTGGTGTATGATTTATTTTTATTCCGGTCCATTTAGGTAGTACAGAGAAAGCTCAGAAGGAACCAAGAGTTGGGTTATATTGAAGCCTTTCTGGTCGTGATTCCGAGTCAAAAAAGAAATTTCCTCAGTGTTTAGAAAAGTGGTTTTCGCCTATGCAGACCAATTTAGCCGGATTGTTTTTCTGAAAGTGTTTGATTTCAGGTTTTTTTTAGCAGTGAATCTTGGTTAACTACTTTTTCACGGGGGCTATCCTACAAAAAGATATGTATGGTATTCAAAACAAAAGTTGAAAAAAAATCTTTAAAATCTAAATCTGAAAAAAAAATTAAAAAAACTTTTCCCTCTAACTTGTTTTTTTTTCATCTTTTTCCTGGAACAAAAAAAAACAGTTAAAGGACGTAAAAGGGCAGTCGGAAGATTCAAAGAATGGTCTCGATTAAATAGTTGTATTTATGGTAAAGATTACAAAATTAGGTTTATCGGCGAATTTTTTCTTGTACTTACTAAGTATTTTTGAAATTACCCCAAAATTTTCTTTTGTTTTTCTTTTCAACTGCAAATCGAAATTTGTACGCAAACAAACATTTTCCAAAACTGTTTTCCAAAACAAAAATGTTGGGTTTTTCCTTTTTGCTGTATAATTTTTTTTTCAAAAATGCTGCAATTTCCCATTTCTTTTGTGTGGCATGTTTATGTATGCTTTGATCAATGTTTGATAATTTAAAAGTGCAAACTTTTACATAATCATCTTTAAAAAATTTCGCCAAATTTCAAAAGTTTTGTTATATCATTTTTGAAAAACAGCTTTAAGACAATTCAGATCGTTTTCTATGCATTGTATATGCAAGAACGTTCAACGTTTGGTGCTTTGAGTAAGCCAAGGTCTTTGTCACTTGGGTTAAGATACAAACACAATCCAAAGTTTTTCTGAAATTAGATTTAGAAACAAAAAATCAACTTTTTGGTTTATGGAAAAACACAATCATACAATTTCCATATGTGGAAAAATGCTTGTCATAGAGTTTTCATACAATTTTCTTTACGTATGGAATTGTATGAAATTGTATGACAAGAAGTTTCTCATATATGCAAATTGTATGATAAGAAGTTTAGGTCAACCCGGGAAATTTGCTTTATTTTTGTTTATTTTACAATTGTCTCAAGATATTTAAAATTTTTGTGTAAGGTAACCAATTGACTTTTCTGTGGTGTCAGATACAAAACAAATAACTGATAAGCTTTGAACTTTTTCTGTGGAGATCAGCAATAATAAAAACGGTCTTAGTTTATGTTGAAAAATTCAAAAAAGCACCATTTTCCTTGCCCTACAACCAAAATCTGATATTTTTTGAACACGGGGGAAAAATTTTTCCCGCGTTGCTGTTAGATAATTACTAGATTAAACTGTAAATATTCTAGGGTCTTCTTCCTTATTCCGCCCAAAATTCCTAATTATGCGGTTTTGTTAATTTCAAAGTTTAAATGATGAGAGCAACATATTGATAACACTAGCAATTTTTTTTAACGGGTCACTTTACTCTTCAGCCGAATTCTAAAAGGCCCGACATTTCAGTAGATACGAAGGTGTTCTTTTTTGCACTGGAGCTGTTTTCTGAGACCTTTTTTTTCTAATCTTGGTAGAACTCTGGAGCGCACTTGAAACAAATTTGAGTACTTTACTGAACATTCTTCATTTTACGCCAATTCGTCTTATTTATAATTCGACTGAAAATTGTGAACAAAGCATTATGAGATGGTATTGAAATTTGATTGGCTAATTTTAACCAATCAGTTCAAAGCAAAACAGTTTCTGCTCAAGATATTAAAACATTGATTTTTGAACGCAATAAGTAAAAGTACCCTAGATCTTTACTAGTTGAGATCGCACCAGAACTTCACCTCAATATCAGATTTGTGTAAAGATTAATTCAAATGCAAAAAATGGCGCAAAAATTCAAAAATTTTGACATCAATCACCCTTCACGCTAAGTTTTAATGTGCTAAAAAAATTCTTGGCCAGTGTGCTAAAAAAAAATTCACTTTTTGTTATCAATAGGTCTTGCGGCTTCAAGAAGCAAGATGTTACGCAATGACTCCAAGGCATCCTATCGGTCTATCAGCCCATTAGGCCGAGTGAACACTCTGAAAGACGCCAGCTTCACTGGCTCCTTGGAGAACTACGAGGGAATGAAGGGCATTCGGCCGACCAACTCCGTTCCAGACTTCAATAGTTAGTTAGCTGATAGTTTTTTTTCGTAATTGTTATATATAATAATTTTAACCCAAAAACGAAAAACTGAAAAAATGGCCTCCAGTAACTTAAACGTACATTATGTGCGTTTTAGCTTTAATTACCCACAGCAACAAAATGGATAAAAATTCATCATATGCAGAAAAATTTTCAGATGAACTTAAGTTTAGAATTGATATATCTAAAGCCATTTTGTCATTGATAATCTATTCTACTGATAATTGTTTTTTTTTCACCTAAAATAAATGGATTTTAGTGCCAAAATAATCAATTTTTCTTTTCTATAAATCTGTTATACTCTAAATCTGTTATACCCTTCGATGTAATACTCAACTAAATGATGATAATCATAATAAATTTGATTTCAAGAAGTAAACAGATTGTTCGTAGTTAATAAAACTTATATAAAAATTCTTATCTTGGACGAACTAAAAGCAATTAGCTGCCTATCGATATGCAGAAATTTCCCTCTAAAAATATAGTATGAATATAATTTTTTTTATCTCTTGGCCCTTATTTAACCCGGAAATCAATATTCTAGATATACTAACTGTTTTTATCATTCCATTAAAAGCTTACACGTATATATTGTAAAGCTAGACAATCAACAGGGAATTGAGTTTGAAAAGATGATTTTTCAGGTATTTTTAATTTCCGTTCACGACTATCCACATTAAAATCAATTTACGAGTGCTTTAGGAAGATGGAGTGGTTAGCAGAACTTATCTAACTCTAAAACAAGAAACATATCGGAACTCTTTTAATTTTTGCAGTTATGCTTTTCAGAAAATTCTTTTTTTTTGCAAATTTTCGACTGAACGCATGCTTATTTGGAACTATATTTCTGACAAAGATATCAGCTTCTTCTCTATTTACCTGCGGGTTATTTTTTCTGCCTATTTTTTATTTTTTTTTGTTTTTGTTTTGAGCTCCTGCTAAAAAAATATTGTTATTTCTAATTGTCTTTATTCCATTTTTGTCTGGGAGTATATTGAGAGCAATCACACAGATAATCCAATAAACATCAAAGGACTGAAAATAAATGCACGCTCGAATAGAGAAGCTTCATTCCTCCATCACTTAAGGGCATCTTACCATCGGCTTTATTTATGAAGAACTCGTTTTCAATATAAAAGAAAGGTTCAATAACCAAAAGACATTGTTCACTTAAAATTTAAACTAGCTTGAATACTATCATTTATATATCAACGGTCTTCAAATCTGAACAATTCTTGCTAATTAGATTTTATGATAGATTTTTATTTCTCATCTATTGTCCGAATTCGTAACCAGAAATTTTGTAAAAATTTTGTTAGATTGTTTTCGTTAAATTTTAATCATTCTTCTCCGCGTAATTGTCTTAGCTCTAAAAAAAGCCCAGCAAACATCATAGTAAGTTTCATAAAAAAATTTTCTGACGTATGAATTTTTGAGGTCATCAATGCAATTTTGCCTATTTAAAAACAGAAATCGACCTGCGATCTAGAAAAAAACTCTCTGAATTATTGTTCCGAGCATTTGAAAACGGGTAGGAACTTTGTATTCGAAGGTATTTTTTTGGGATCAATTGAGCAATCTCCCCCCCGTAATGACCAATTGAGCTATCTCCCTCCCAGCAAAAACGAAAAAACTCAATAAAAAGACGTCAGCAAACGCAAGTAGATGGATGATGTGTTTATTGCACGCAATCAATTGACCGACTGAAGTTATCTTACATGAGTATCGAGAAAAATTTTGAAAAAAAAATCGAAATATGAAAAAAAATGTTTTTTTTTTTGCAAAATTTTGTTTAGGCGACCATAGCCTCATCGAAGAAAGCGATTTACCAGGGTTGGTGCTCTAGCGTTGTATCTGAATAGCAAACAAACGGTTCTCCGCAGCACCTTAATATTGTTCGCAAAAACTTTTTGTCATCTTAAAAAGGAAAAAAGTCGCTTTTTATGGCTGTTTTATTGATTCTTTCAATCCGAATGAAACTTTTGAGCTTTGATATTATAAGTTTTGGCTTTCCACAGTCGTTGGAAAATATGCTTTATGATTTCATGTCATTCAATTTATTTTCAAGTGGTTATAAACATGTCTCAAGTACCTATTGAGCTATCTCCCCCCCCCCCCCCCCCCACGCGAGAATGGGGGGAGATTGCTCAATTGATCCTTTTTTTGTTCCGACTAATAAAATCCCCTGTAACGACATTTTAAAAAATTCAAATTTTCAGCGAATAAAGCGAGCAAATATAGAATTTTTTTAATGGCTTAAATTTTTAAAAAAGCTCAATTTAAAACGTTAACACTTAGTTTTTTTCAAATAACGTTAGTTTTTTTTTTTACTATTTTAGCGTTTTTTGGAATAAAAAAATTCAAAATTTCAGAAAACTGCCACAAAATTTGAAAAAGATTTGAAATGTATTTTGGATTATTTATCGTTTTTCCACTAATTTTTCTGTAAAAGTGTTTATCAATTTTCTTACTTATATGTGAATTTCGAATATGCCTTGTCTCTAGCTCAGCGTTTTATCACTTCTTGTTATCACACCAAGCCGAAAAAAAGACTCAAACTTGAAAACACTGTTTTGTTGCATTTTATAATTTTATGGTCAGAATGTTCTGCGCCATTTGCACAGCAGACGGCTATCCTAATTTTTTTTTCTCACGCGCTATCAGCTACCATACATATCATCGGTGTGATTTGAGCGATATATCATAAAAAATTTTGTCTGTCGGGATTCGAACGACATCAAAAAACTGCAAAGATTTTCCCAATGTCGAGAGAAGACGGTCTGAAACTTTTGAAATTGTGTCTGTTTTCGAGTGAGTAAAGCAAGCGAGCACGCTTATTTATGCTTAATATAGGTCGCTTACACTGTGCTAAACATTCTGTGCTATTTGCACAGTAACCGGCTAACCTTATTTATTATTGTCTTTTTTTTTCAAACTGAGCAATTTTTTACCGCTTTGTGGACAAAAAATGCTCAAAATTAAAACCTAATTTTATCACTGCCGATAATTTGTTTTTGTAGCCCTATATTTGCATGACAAGATTAGTGTACAAAATTTCTGATGCAAGAACTCCAAACAATTAGGGAGTCTTGGAATAATCTCATTTTAAGAAATGTCTCAGTTTTTTGCATCAAGTTTTATTTTTTGGGTGAACCCTTCAAGGGATATTACTTTGTAATTCAGCAGTGAATCTGGACTACTTTAACAAAAATAATAAAAACAGACCTCTCAAAAAATGAAAACACATTTTTTGGCCAAAAAGTCAGAAAATGACGAGAGCAGATTTTTTTAGAAGAGTAAGCTAATAATTTATAGCCGCACTTTTTGACCTGAAATTGATTTCACTCTTTTTAAGATAAATTTTGACATTTTTTTCATACTTTCGGCAGCGATCGATTTCATACTTCTTTCTTGGTAGCGAGCGTCATTGAACTGATTCGTCTTTTTTATCAAAGCCAACCTAATCTCTTTAATTTTCAAATGAAAACTGCACTGTGGCCTTGGATTAGTTGTGATATAATTTTCAACGGAATAATATCTAGCAATTTTAGCCCTACGGACGGGATCGTTTCCTTCAACAATTACCACCCGTGTTTTGCAAAATGTTTCATATAGTTTTGCTGCAGGACGTCTTTGTAGATCTAAGCCAAGCAATTTTTTCGGTCAGGTGTAACGAATCCTCAAAACGTAAGCGAAAATTAATTCAGAACAGTAGATTGTGGTTCATTTCGCTCACCGCACTGATGCGATACACGAACACGCCCGTCGTTTTCTAGGCAAGCTTGATTTCTTCTGGGAAGGTAACAGTCTGCAAAAAAATGGGATTTTCTCAAAAACGGCTTTTAATTTTTCGGAAAGCACTGTTTTTCCTTGCCCATATTAAGCTTTAGAGCTGGCGATCTGATCGAAAAATTGGCTCGTTCTCTCACTGTTTTAATTTTTGACTAATGTTTTTTCTTTGGCCGTTTTCTGTTTCCTTTACTTATTAGCAGGGGTTTATTTTTTTTGAGCTTAGTCGCCCGAATTTAGAATTTTTCTTAAATGATTTTAAATCACTGGACATTGTTTTGTTTCTAATCAACTTTGCCGTCTCATATACTGAAGCTCTATTCCCGTAAGGATTTAACCAAAACATGGAAATTGCACTAAAATCTGGAAAATTTATTTTTCAAAAATTACTGGCCCTTCTTCTTTGTTGAGTCCATGTAGAGAACAAATGATATCAAAAACAATAATCCTAAAATCACAATTCAACAGAAAAGTTCAGAACAAAAATTGCTTACTTGAATCATTGACGTGAAAATTGCGCACTTGTTTTTCCTACTTTTGTAACGAAGAAAAAACTTGTGCTCGGGTAGTTATTTTCCTTCAGCCAAATTTTGACCTTTTAAGTAGAAAACTTTGATGGAGTTTTTTTTAAATCATTAATAATGTATAGTTGTCTTACGCTTAAGTTCAAAAAGGTTTTTCAATTATAATTTTTGTAAATTTATGGGAGTTTAAAGCTTGCCATTTTGACCATTATAGGATAATTACCACGCGATGTATTTCATGCTATTAACGCGTTAGCGGAGATTTAATCCGTCTGAGAAATCGTTCCTTATTGTTTGAAGACGCTTTTTGCCATAATTTATTTGTTACTAGGAGCAAATCAGTGTGCTCCATAGACTCCAAAATGCAGACAAAACCTTGAAAGGCTTCGCCCTGATACGAGCAGACTTTTTGTTCCGAATTTTGTAACGAAATTAATGGAATATTTGTGCTCTGGGTGTTTTTTTTTCAGGAAAATTTCGGTTTTTATTTTAGCCTTTTTCCGGATTTTTTTTTTATAGCATTCAAGAGACATTGTTAAACTGAGCTGATTTGACAAAAATTTTCCAGTGGTCAATTTTTGTAAAGTTTAGGGGTTTAAAGATTGCTATTTTAGCCGATATGGGACAATTAACGCGCGATCCTTTTCGCGCTATAACGCGTAAGCTGAG